CAGTTCTAGATGAAGAACTTTCATCCCTCCCTACGGTTCAGAAAGAGAATGTTCTTCAGGTGTATTCTACTTTCAAAAATGCTATTTTATCTGCTGCAAATAAGACAATTCCCATTAAAAAACCTTATAAAAATAATGCTCCTTCACCGCCTTGGTGGGATCAAGATTGTTCTGTAGCATGCAAGAAGAGAAAGGAAGCTGAACTAAGATATTCCCGCTCAATGAATTTTGATAACTATATTTTTTATAAAAAAACTGCTGCTGAAACATTAAAATTACTGTCTGAAAAGAAAAAGGCTGGATGGCTTAAATTCTGTGAGTCACTGTCGCCTAGGACTCATCCATCACTGGTCTGGAAAAATATAAAAAAATTCCGATGTTCAGTTTCGGCCCCTGAAAACACAAATTCTAATGATCAGTCTTATTGGCTAGAAAATTTTGCTAGTAAACTTGCTCCTCCTTCAGTACCATCTTACAATGAATGTATAGTATTCCAATCACAGTCCCTGCACTATCAACACAGTTTTGACTCTCCTTTCTCTTATGAGGAGTTATATTCTGTTCTTAATGTCCTTAAAGACTCTTCACCAGGAATCGATGGAATCCCTTATTCTTATATTACTAATAGCAGTGAATCTACTAAAGCCCATCTTCTTTCTATTTTGAATTATATTTACATGTCCGGTATTCCTCCTGAAGAGTGGAAATCCCAAGTTATCTTACCTATTCACAAACCAGGTAAGCCCTACACTGATCCCGCAAGCTACCGCCCTATTGCTCTTTCTTGCACCATGGCCAAAATCCTTGAACACCTAATAAAAAATCGTTTAGAATGGTTTCTTGAAAGCAAAAATCTTTTAGCAAAAAGCCAATTTGGATTCCGAAAGGGCTTAAGCACCATGGATAGCATTAGTACTCTAGTTACTGATATTCGTATAGCTTACTCTAAACATGAATACCTTGTTGGAGTCTTCCTAGATATCTCGTCTGCATATGACAATGTACTTCTTCCTGTGCTCAGGCAAAAAATGCTTAATCTGAGTATTCCAGTGAGGATAGTAAATTTTGTCTCTAACTTTCTCTCTTCTAGATCCATTTATATTGACAGTCAAAATTCTCTACTCCCGCCAAGAATTGTATGGAAGGGTCTCCCACAAGGCTCAGTACTTAGTCCTTTACTCTATTCTATCTATACTTATGATTTAGAACTTTCTGTTAACTCCTTCTGTAACATCCTCCAATATGCAGACGATATAGCTATATATATTTCCCTAGATAACCTCCTTGCAGCATGTTCTCGCTTGAATATATCAATGTCTTATTTACAGGATTGGTTAACTGATCATGGTTTGTCTTTGTCTGTTCCCAAAAGCAGTGTTGTAATCTTCTCTCGCCATAGGCAAGTCCCTGAAATCAACATTCTCTATAATAATGAACCTATCCCAATTAGGGAGAGTGTAAAATTTTTAGGAGTTATTCTCGACTCCAAACTAGCCTTTTCTCATCACATCAACTATGTCTCCAAAAAATGTGAAAAAAATATAAACATTCTTCGCGCTTTATCGGGTGTCTGGTGGGGCTCCCACCCATTCTCCCAAAAAATACTGTACAACGCCCTTATCCGTAGTCATTTAGATTATGGATGTTTTGTTTTGGAACCGTGCAATAAGTCTTCCCTAAAGATCCTAGACAGGATTCAATCCAAAAGCCTTCGTATAATCATCGGGGCAATGAAATCTTCCCCAATAAATGCTCTCCAAGTTGAATGTGTGGACCCTCCCCTTTATCTAAGAAGGCAATATCTTTCGGACCGATACTTTTTTAAAATCTACCAACTCTCTTCCCACCCTCTCATTTCTAAACTACACCTCCTTTTGGAATATATTTCGTCAAAACATTACTGGTCTCATAAAGAATCTCCCTGCTTATCCAACAGTTTGGTAACATTACTCCACCTACCATACCCAGTATCACAATTCAAGTCCTGCCCCATATTTGATATCCCATATGATGCAATCATTTTCCAACCAAATATCCACCTCGACCTTGGTATTGAGAAAGATTGCCCTATAGCAAATAGTAAAGTAAGTAGAGTCATAGATAATTTATGGAAAGGCTGGCTTATTATATACACTGATGCCTCCAAAAAGTCAGATGAAAGTTGTACTGGAGCAGCAGTTTGGATTCCCAGATTCAAAATAATTCTTAATTTTAAATGCCCTTCTATTTCTTCCACTTTTACTGGCGAGGCCACGGCAATTCATGAAGCTTTAATATATATAGAAGCACACAACTTAAATAAGTCAGTTATTCTTACCGACTCCAAAAGTTGTTTGTTAGCAATTTTGTCAAACCAATTCCAAAGTAAATATAAGATACCCTTGATCCTCAAAATTAAACACACATTGTATAGATGTCATCTCAAGGGCATACAGGTTTCCTTAGCTTGGATTCCAGGTCATAGTGGCATCAAGGGCAATGAAACAGCTGATCTGATGGCTAAAAATGCCAGTCGAAATGGTTTGCCATGTAATTTAACTTACTCCTCAGACATAGTGTTACTTGCAAAGAAGAAGTTAAATAATAATTGGAATACACTATGGAAAGCCACTCAAAATATAAAAGGTAAACACTATGCTGCTATACAATGTGCCATCCTTCCAAAACCATGGTTTTTCAAATTCAATAAAGCTAATAAACATTCTACATCAACTATTTGTAGACTTAGAATTGGCCACGCTTGTACACCAGTACATTTGGCCAAACTGAGGATTAGGGATAGTTCCCTCTGCGAATGTGGGTTGGATGAGGGAACCTCCGACCATATTTTTTTTAACTGTCCTAAATTATCTTGTTCACTCTATGATTATCTCCCTCCTGACATCCCTCGTCCTATAAATTTTGATTCACTTTTAACCTACACAAACACTCCTTATGTATATATTCTGTGTGATTTTATTAACACTAATGGTATAAAAGTTTAATGTTTGTCAATACTAACATACTAATGTAGTTATAGCAACCGTGTTTGTCATTTGTTCTAGGTAATTCAACAGTATAACCATTAGTACTACAAGATAAAAGGGGAAAAAATTGGTTTAAAGGAAAAAAGATACTTGTACTATCACAATCTTCTCTTGTATATGGGCATAGTATTTGTAACTACTGAGCTTCTACTCAATAAACGCTTTCACGCTGACATTGGCGAATGATCAAAACCGCCATAAAAAAGAAAGAAAGAAGAACTAGAATGTTTTATTAAAAGATCATCTCAATCATTAGGTATTGTTATAAGAAATGTAATTTTACCACAAAAAATCTTTTATACTTCTCAATTGTTAGAAGTATATTAGAATATTGTAGCACAGTCTGGTGTCCCCATTATTCTACACATAACCTTCGCCTTTAGAGCTTACAAAACAGATTTTTATGGCATCTTGCCTTTTCAATACGAAAAGCATATAAAAATGCATCATATGTAAACAGATTAAAGACATTTAAAATGGTTTCACTGTCAAAACGCTAAGACATTCTGGATTTGCAACTTTTATATAAAATATTGAGAAATAACTTAGATTGCCCTTTATTACTATGTAAATTTAATTTTCGTATCCCAAGTAGATATCCTCCTAAATTCATTACTCCACTTTAATTCTTACACCCCTTCATAGAACTGTACTAGGTTTAATTTGCCAATACCCAGCCTTTGCAAACTTTTAAATACTTTACTATAATAATGTAGTAGATATTCACCACCACCCTTTTAACGTTTTTCGACACAAAATTTATGAAAATATTAATATTTCTTTGTATTATTGTAAAACAAAAATTAAATTTTGTTTTGTATATTTTTAGCTATTTGGTAAAGCTTGTAGGAAATCCTGTGAGCACTAAGTATGCGGTGTTTACCTATTATGGAATGTGCACTTATAGTTGAAGTAACTGTCTTATAATTCAGTATAAGACGAGTATATAAATAAATTAAAAAAACTACCTACTGAATTAGAGTTGAAATCTACACAATTTGATTCTCATGTTAATTTTTTTTTGTACTTCAGTCCTTTCAGAATTATTAGATTTTTAATCATGAGACTGAACTTAGCTGACTACCGACAATTGAAAATTTTAACAATTGAAGTAATTTTTTTTTAGTATAACTATCCACAAATATCTATTTGTTACTTATTTTGTTTTTACCAAAAATAATTTAATTAAAAAAAAAACAATTAATTTATAATCAAATTTTTATACTACTTTTTTCTTAAATATGCAGCTCGATTCTATGTTATACTACAATTCAACTTGCTAAGAAAAAGATCATCTACAGAATTCTGGAAAAATTCAAGTTGGTAACACTGACGTAAACCAAAGCTGCTTCTAGGGAGTTTTGGCGGGAAATTGACCGGCGGCGGTTTGCTGCTCCTGTATTATTGTTTAAATAATGGTTTGAAGTGGACTTTGATATGTAAAAGTGTTGCGATTTTGTGTATTAAGTGTCTACGCATGTGAACTATTAGTGGAAACAGTGAAACAAGTGCTCTGATGGTGATGGATTCTCAAGATAAGCTGTTTGTTTGCATAGGCACCTTTAGATACCATCGCCAACTATCAGCTGTCTGCTGGATCAAGTTGCCGCCAAAATCTCCCAAGAACTGCACAATGTGACGCATCAACATATTGTGAAGCAGTATACTATGAAGGAGTGGGGAAATTACAATAAACCGAATAAAAATACTTAAGACTTGGCCTAAAGGTCTAGATACCAGGCCATAAACTCCAAAAAAAAAAAAAGCTGCTTCTAGAGATGTTTATTAATAAGATCATAACCTCAAGATTGTACTCAAGTGCGTGTACTTGAGCTGAGTAACGTTTATTAATACGGGCCTTAGTAAATTACCCTAAACCAATTATAGTAGTACTATAATAATTTTGGGTTTATATATTTTTAGAGATTTCACTAACATAGATTATTAATGTATACTAGAGATTTTGTATCTTACGCCTCCATATTATCGTTGAAAAGCTCCTCTCCATCTTCTTCTTCTTCAGCCGCGTTATCTCCAAGAATTGCACTTTCATCTTCAAACATCTCATATTCTCTAGCTGGTGAAGTCATTCTTGATCGTGCTCCGTCTCTTTCGGGCGGTGTATCAGGAATTGGGGAACTCTATAATCGAGTATAAAAAAACATTACACGAAATGAGTTTAGAACATTATAAATCTGTAGGTAATAAAATAACTTATAGATAAGAAAGCTGTATACCATTGTTTTATTTTTTCGGATACTTGTATAAATCTCACAAACGATATAATATTATAACAACAAATCTAAGTAAAAATAAAAACAAAAGCAATGCAAACAAAAGCAAAGCAAGCAAAAGGTTATATTTATCGCTATTTGGTGTCAAAAACCGCGCGAAATTGATATTGTCAAATCTTTTACTTTTAAGATTTTTGGCTTGGATGCTTTTCTTTTAAGTCATGTCTTCATTTCATTTCGATTCTTTATCTATGACATTCGGGACTTCCGTTTTTATAATTTTTTTAGTATCAAATGATAATAATCATGCATTTAATTTTATATATTAATTATCATTCTGTGATAAAATGAGTCATCTAATAACAAAGGCGGCAATATCCACTCAAGGTCAAAATTTAACTATGAATGTAGTTTTATTGTCTATGGACGTAGTTTTGTAAGGAAGTCTACGCATCAATTACGGCATTATCCCATAGAAAATGGAGCTCAAAGTTTGGAGCTCGTAACAAACCCGGCATTATCCTGTACCGTTCAAATCAATGATGGCAACATCCATGTGGACCAATCAGAGCGCAGAATTTCATAAGCGTTGAGGTTGTTAACGCTCGTGAAATAGTGTTGGTGTTTTTATTGTTTTCTAATGAATACTGTATTTTTTTCTAAAAACTTTGGTTAAAATTGTAATTATGGAGTGTCTAGCATCACCGAGTACATCGGGGAAGACCAGAAAACGAACGGCTCATCCAGAAAACTGGAAACAAAACATAGCTAAACGGCAGCGGTAAATACACACAGATGGCACAGATTTGATACTTGATTTTATTAGCATGAATTTTTTTTTGAAATCAGTTTTATTCAAAAGTGCATGTAATTTGGTCATAATTTTAAAACTTTCTTTGAGCAGTCTGCATTAACACGATATTCGAATAAGCAAAGTTGTATGGGATTTTTTTGCGTTCAAATGTATTGTGGCCAGATAATTTCTTTTAAAATCTATTATTGTCAAGTTTTGTTCCAATAATTATTTGTTACAGATCGAATAGATAACTTTTTAGTACGTGTGCTGATTTTAAATTCCGAGCTAACGATATAGACAATCTAAATAGAATCACGAGCCTAGTGAGTAGTGCCGTATTGCCAAATTTTACCACGTTGTACCAAGTTGTGCCAAGTTATTTATTTTATGTGCTTTTGTTACAGATATTCCCCTAAGGAAAGTCCAAATAGACCCAGATGTCAACACCTCCGGAAGAGTGTTTATAAATGCGAGTCAATAACTATGCGAAACGTGATGCACTTTCATGCGGCATTTTATAAATATCACAACAAGGAAACACAAGATGCTTTTCTTCTAAAATACTGCGTCCCTGTAATTCCCAAGAGAAAAAGACCTAAAAATAAGAAACATCATCCGAAAACCATTCATACAAATTACAGCATTTACAGTATCTCACAGAAAAAAAAATAACAATATGTCAGAAAGCGTTCCTCGGAATTTTAAACATTACTAAACATCGAGTACAGTATATTGCTAAAAAGTTTATGGAATCGGGTGGACAAGCAGTAAAAGAAAAAAGAGGCGGTGACCACAAGTCCCATTTATTCACAGAGAAAGAAAATGCTGTAATGCGTTTTATAAATATGTTTCACGTTGACGAAGCACATTACTGTAGGGGACATTCTGAACGGAGATATTTACCTGCAGAACTTTCAATTAACAAAATGTGAAAAATGTACAACAAACAGCCAAATCTTGAAGCAAATTTAAAAGTCAAAAAAGGTCTGTTCAGAAAAATTTTCAATAACAACTATAACCTCGGTTTTGGCAGTCCTAGAACAGATGTATGCTCGACATGTATTCTACTTCTAGAAAAAATTAAAAGAGAATCAGATGAGACACAAAAGCAACGACTTATGCTAGCACATAGGGTTCACAAACTTAAAGCTAAAGCATTTTTTAATTTAGTGAGAGAAAAAAGACCCAATTTAAAAACATTCTCATTTGATTGTGAAAAAAATCTACCATTACCAAAAACACCTGATCAGATAACTTATTATTCCAGACAGCTTTACCTATATAACTGTACTATAGTAGAAGGTTCATCAAAGGCTCCTCTGACAACATAAAATGTATTCGCCTACTGTTGGACCGAAGACCAATATGCCAAAGGAGCTAACGCAATAGCTTCCATAGTATATCACAGACAGATGAACACAAATTTGACAGATATATGTACGATCAGATTGATAGCAGATTGATGTCCGGGGCAAAATAAAAACTCGATAATGATAGCGATGTGTTCGAAGTGGTTAAGTAGTTCGGCACCTGATCACGTGCAAAGAATTGAAATGGTTTTTCCTATCGTAGGACACTCTTTCATTCCACCGGACCGCGTATTTGCTCATGTGGAAAAGAATGTGAGAAAGTTGGAGTGTATATTAAGACCGGAGGATTACCTTGAGATTATAGACACTTATAGCACAATAGCTCGTATGGGTTCTGATTGTGAAGTCCTAAACTTTAAGAGTGGAATGAGTTCAGTTATAAAGGATGTCGGCTCTTGGCACTTCCAATTTAAACATTGCAAAAAGATTTTTAATACAGCGGTCAAAAGAAATTGGTAATGTTGTAATTCAAGGGGAAGTGCACTATACTAATAATTTGGGTGTATTGAAGAAAATAACTCGTAAAAATAAAAAGGCCTCTGATTTGAACCCTGAAGTGATTACTCAAAACATTGTGAGAATCAAACCTGCAAAATTGGTAGACGTAAAAAAACTATTAACCACTCATTTTGGAAATGAATGGGAAAATGAGGAGGGATTTGATTTTTATAGAAGTGTTTTATCACAAACATCAAGCCTAGAAGAAGAGGAAGATGCATCACAAGAAGTTACTTGTGAATTGCAAGTCGAGGAAAGATGTCTATAGTTTAAGAGTACTTGATTTTCTGAAGTTTACCTAAGGATAATAATACTTGTTTTTTTTAATTGCATGATTGTTTATTTTGTTGAAGTTTTACGTAAAGTGCCATTCAGTATATTATATTTTTATAAAAACCAGCGACTGATTGATAAGTAATAAAAAAGAGTTTGATTATTACTACGGCTATTATTTTAAATTTTTACTTCAAATATCAAGATTGTGGTGACCAGATACATTATGGTGATCATCGGTAACAAACATGGCTATCTCCATGCCTGTCTAAAACAAACACGGCAATATTCGAAACTTTCAAACAAAGTCGGCAATCTCCAACGGTTATTTGTGAATTCTGCTTTAAAAAGGCAATATATGTTTAATAAAATAGAGTAAAATGATCATTCTCATTGTACATTCCATATTTAAAAAATATCTAAGTTAAGGGATAAATAGATTTCACAAAATACGTTTTTATCACTTTACACAAAATTCAACGAAATGGATATTGCCGCCTTTGATATTAGATGACTCAAATATATACAATCAACAAAAGAATTGGTAGCCAGAGTTGATAATTAATTGTTATATAATTTTTTATTTTAAAAACTTAATTGTTCTAACTATAAAGGTTACAAAGGTCGGACTTAATGCTAGTAAGTATTCTTTGCCACTCAACTATAGCTACCCTACCTCAGCCTACGAATTTGGGATATCATGCGCGGCGCAGATATTCTAGGGTTTTTATTTTGGGAGGTCTGGTTCTTTGGCGGCAACTTCATGCAGATTATATAGTATTTTTATATATAAATTCAATAGTTTTATTGAATGTAAAGGTTGCTTATAATTCAATTTATTGCAAATATCAATCCAAACAACATCTTTTTTCTTTTTTTTTAAGAACCATTAGTATGAATGTCAAAGTTTATCAGTTCTTCAAAAAATTTTTGTAATTAAATGCTGGCTTTGGTCCTACCATTTTTACAGTATATTATTTAAATAAGATTAGGCATAATTATCTTATTACAGTTTCAAGTTAAAACAAAACACTAATTATTAGAACACTAAGTATTAGAACACTTTTCTTTCTTTTTCTTTTTTTAGAAAATGCTTTCAACCGATACAAAGTAATAGTAAATACTAGGTGAATGCATTGTCTTTTCTTGTTATTAACATCCATAAACAGATTCTGATTGGTCGTTTTTAAATTGAGATAAAATTTGAAATGCTTAGTAATAATTGAAAACCATGTTTATATTTAAAAAAAAATTAATTATAAGAATTTTAAAATGTCATTGAGGTAAGTGATAAAAAAAATCTAGGAATTGAGAAAGGAATTCATCATTATAAGAATTTCAATTGTTTATTTTTTTTTTTGGTTGCTCCTCGGATGCGTAGTTTTGCACTGAACTAATAAGGATAGGGTGCCGTGCAATTCGACGATTGATAAATTGAGTTTTATTAACTTTTTGGAATTAGTATTGCATTTTATGGATTTTTAGCGATGGTGGAGTTAGATTCAAGCAGGATGCAGTTTTTTTTAATTATTTTTAATTATTTATATTCTTATAAGAAGTACCGAATTGTAAGTATCTGAAGAGATATCGACGTTATAAAATGCGCGATATTTACCTATATTTTATTCATAAACTACGGGGGTGCGGTTTAAATAATAAACATTTTTGAGAAGTGCTATTAAAAGCACATCTATGCGTATTTTTATTTATATCTATATCCCAAATTCGTAGGCTAGGGTAGGGTAGCTCTCAACTATGGAGTGTAGAGTACAAGAAGAACCATCTTATAAGGGGCGAAAGTTGAAAAATTGTCCTACTATTTACTGAAAATAGAGGAATCGTAGGTTTTCAGACGCCAGCGCTATTAAAAAGAAAATTGAGATATTTGGTCATATTTTCGAAGGCCGAAAATAAACCTGATACAGTTATTTAGATGGTGGTCAAGCTTATTGAGAAGATTGTGGTTCAAATCTGAGTGAAAATCATCTCCATAATCAGTGACAGGCAAGATGAGTGTTTGAAAAAGAATATGCTTAGTTTTGTATTACATCATATATTACAACCAGACGAAAAGTGGCGTAAACACATCTAATCAATTGTATTCATCTGTCATGTTTGAGAAAAACCAACACGTACTCTATGGCGATATTTTATGATATGTGCTGAACATATCCTACGTAATTACGTGTTTATGATCACAATT